GTCATGGAGTCGATTCACAGTTATGAACGACTCTTGCAGTGCTACAAGTCTTCCTCTACGCATGGGCCCGCGGATGCCGCCAATGTCTTGTACATTTTGGGCAAACTGTCGGTTCGGGCCAAGCAATTCCACGCCGCACTGGATTACTTTGATGAAGAACTGACAATGACCAAGAGCGTGGTGGGGCACACCCATTTGGCCATTTCCAAAATTCTACACGAATCTGCTCGTGTCGCCGATGCCGGCATGATGGATTATCCCCGGGCGGTGCGCTATTACCAAGAAGCCTTGCAAGTCGAAACGCGCGTCTATCAACAGTCCAAACAAGAAAATGGGACGTCGCTCCTGCAAGATGCCAAGGCGCAAATGGGGGAGACCAAACAGTGCTTGGGAAAGTTGCATTTCAAGATGGGGGACTTTACCAAGGCCATGAAGACCACCTTGGCGGTGGACAAGTAGAAAGAGACAAAAGGCTGCTCATCAATTTGGAATGTCTTTGTCTGAGATTGTATTGTACGGTAGGCCTTCTGAGCTCTTTTTGTGTTAAAAAGAAAAAGAGACAGGATGTAACATGATTTTCAATTTCGAGGAAGAAAGATGCAGCATTCTACAAAAAGAATCATACCAGTAGTGTAACAAATACAGTAAAGCTGCACCTACAGTATATTCTATCCATCTCACCTTAGTTAGCTAGTGGTAGCTAGAACAAACTGTTTCCTTGTCTGTAGTTTTTCAGCAGTTTAGTCTCTTGGGCAAGGCAGCATAACGTACACGAAAGACCCATGTGCCAGGACGTTCTTTGTGATCACCTTATAGCGGTGAGTTGAGGTGGAGGTTGGTTCCGTTCCACGCAAGGAATCGAATCGACTACATTGCATGTAATAGTAAAAGCCACCACCAGGAGGAGGAGTTGCACGGCTATCTTATCTAGCTAGCTAGGCAGCATGATATACAAGCACTTATGCCTCAACCAGATAGATGATGAAGAAGTCTTTATTAATAATAGGAAAGTTAGAAATTTAAATCCTCCACAACACTTTTTGGATACCCATGACCATCACTACTCACTACCAACCATAGCTCTCACAAGCTAACAGCAGCCAAGCTATCCGCGATGCCAGTGATGGGGAAGCCAATGAACTATACTTTGGATCCATCCACACAGCCAAGTTTATATTCCTTGATTGATCTGATCTACCTGGGTTGTGAGAGATTTACTTTCCTGCAGCTCCCATAGAGGTGACTGGAGTCTTGGCTCCTTGAACTCCACCGGACCAGACGGATGTGTTGTATTGGAAGGCTTCTTGTGCCATGGCCTTGGTCTTTGCGGGTTCCTTGAGAGCACCTCGCATTGTGCTGGCTGCCTTATTCACGTACTGTCATCGTAGCGTCGTCACATAATGGTTGGAATAGGACAAAAGAGAACAAGGTGGAGAAAGGAGGAGTGAGAATCGGCAATTCCCAACAAAACTGAAAGATGCTACCCTGGAGATCCCACGAACTCCCTTGAGGATGCCTCTGCTATTACTAACTCACTTGAAGATAAGACATGCCGGCAAGGCGCCAATAGGTGGTTACAGGAGGAGACATGGTGATGATGATGATGAGTACTAATAGACCAACGATACAATCAACACGCTTTGCTGTGACGATGTGTGGCAAGCAAGTGCAAGGAGAGCGCCATTGCCAGCCTTGGATCGGCAGTCGTCGCTCTTGCGTTCGTGTTGTCTGTCCGTCGTCAGACAAGCACTTGGAATCTGGATTTCAAAAGACCCTCAGATGGTTCTTTTCGGAGGCCATGGGCCCACACTTGATCGAGTTTCAGAAAAGTGAGCGGAACCAATGGCTAACCTGCCCGCCATTGCGGATTGCCTAAGTAAATTTCAAACCAACCCGCCACACTCGCTCGTTCCACCGCCCCTTCTTCCAACGGGAAGATTAGAAATGGCGCTCACCATCATCACATCTTTTGCTCGCAACACCATAAAAGACTGCCTCCATTATCCTTCCATTATTATTCGTTTTTGAAATCCAAAACGAGAGACAGCGTGCACATACATGATGATGATGAAGATGAAGCGAACTGTAGGAACGCAAACTCCGGTGGAGTTTTTGATGGCTGCCATTGTGCAAGCAAAGCGCGACGCCGTCGAAGTAGAAGTGGAAGAGCCTCAGCCTTGCCAGCCAATGGAATGCAGCAGTGATACTACCACCACCAAAGCCAAGCCAACGGCCGCCGCCGCCAAGCCAACGGTATCTACCTCCCAAAAAGCAGCAGTGGTGTTAGCTCCCTCCGTGTTGACGACCTCTCCATGCACCAAGGGCAATCTGACCACCAAGACGGATACTGGAGCCAAGCGACGAGTGCCAATCTTTTCGCCCAAGTCTCATGCAGCTGCCAACACTTTGACGAGTCTCTTTTCGCAGGGTGCGCGAAGATTCTCGGAAGACCGAGTGTCGCCATTGCAGGAAGACGACGACGACTCAACTGAAGTGGAGGACCTCGACGACGACGACGAAGTTACCATTGTGATGGTTACCGGCGGCACCGATAACAACAGTACTGCCAATGCTGGCGCTACTGTGACAATGACGGATGCCGAGCCTCTTTCCGCAGAAAGTTCTCCAGCTACCAAAACTGCTACCGCTACTACGACTACTGCTACTACCAACACTACGCCCAACACCGAACAAAAGGCGCAACCAACAGCAAGCAAGACCACTGAAGCACAAACACCAGCGACCAAATCAGTACCGACAATTCCTACAGCCGCCCACATCAACGCAAGTGTCCCTACTACTGCTGCTACTACCACCACTACCGCTACCAGAGCGCCCGCCACCACAGCAGCAGTCCAGCCAACCACTGCAGCCCCTCCGAGCCAGGTCAAACAGCCATACCCCGCACCACAGCAGCAAACCCACTACCCACCTCATCACCATCCCCATCATCACAGTGCGTCGCCTCAAACTGTGTACTACTCCAGCTACTACCCCGAAGGTCATCCTCCACCACCACACCCATCCCATGGTTGGACGCGGCATCCTGCTGGGCCATGGACTCCTGTCATTGGAGGAAAGGCCCATCCTGGAAGAACTCCCCATCATCGCGTTGCCCACCACCCATCCGGATGGATGCCAACTGTCATGGAGGTATGTGTTTTGTCTTTTTCCATCCATGTTAACTGATGCTTATTTTATTAAATTCAATCGCCTCTTAACCATTATTTTTCTTCTTTTTCTATTCTGCAGCAACCAAACGTCATGTACCACAACCCATATGGACCCTCGCCACCGGCCAAGGATGGATCGGATCCCAACTCGGCGGTCCGTCTAGCTTCCACCAACAATAGCTTGGTCACGCCAACTCCCAAAAAGCCAAAGTTCAATAACGATCCTCGTCAGCATCCCCCGCCACCTCCCAATCATCAGTTGGTCCATGTCCCACCGGGACATCAGGTTGTAGTGCAAAGAGCTGCGATTCCTCACCATCAGTTGCCCATGTACGCGGCCCAACATGCTGCTGCTCGACCTCCTCAGCCAGTGGCCCCTTCCGCCTCACTTCCACCTCCGCATCCTCAAACTACCACCAAGAGCAACAAGAGTGCCGCCACGATGGGCGATCAGTCGCAAGACAATAATCAGGCACCAGCACCTCAAGTAGCGCAGTCGGCACCAGTGGCACAACAACAGCAGCAGCCGCCGCAACCACAAGGCTACTCGCGCAAAAAGAAGTCCTTGGGTGTCTTGGCGGAAAACTTTTTGGAAACGTTTGAAAATTGCCCCGCGGGGACCGAAATCATTGTGGATGAAGCTGCCAATCGGCTGGGAGTGGAGCGTCGACGCATCTACGATGTGGTCAACATTCTGGAAGCCGTCCAGTTGGTGGTCAAAAAGGGCAAGAACACGTACACGTGGCTGGGAAAGGAATTCCTTCCAGACATTTTTGGCAAACTGCAAGCCCAGGCGATTTTGGAGTACCCCGATGATGCCGTCCGGTTTGGATTGAAGACCCCAGTTGCGGCGGATGCAGCAGCACCTCCCGCTGCTGGTGGTGCTGCTGGCGGTGCTGCTGTTGCTGCTGCTCCCGCTGGTGGACGCCACTCTCGACGTGGCAGCATGAGCAGCACGCAAAGTGAAGATAGCCGGGGAGGCTTTCGTTCGCTGGCCAAGCTGTCGCAGCAGTTTCTTCAAATCTTTTTGGTCGGGTATGACATTGTCAGTCTTCCTCAAGCATCCGAGATGATTCAGGGCACTCTCTCCGCGGAAGCCTACGCTGCCATTGGGACGGCACATGCCAACATTGCATCTCGCTTTGATCCAACAGCTCCTCCTCCGCCACAGCTGGAGAACCCTGCCGAGTTTCGTCGAGCCGCCCAACGTGGTCTCAAGACCAAGATTCGTCGTCTGTACGACATTGCCAATGTCTTTCTCAGTGTGGGTCTGTTGCGAAAGGTCGAGCACAACTCCACGACCTCCGCGGATCTGTTCAGCAACAATCGCCGTCCCAATTTCCAGTGGGCCTATCACATGTCTCCAAAACAGATCCTGGAGGTCTTTACGGCACGAAAGCGCGAGAGCCCAATGGGCATTGGGGGACTGGGACACCCGAATTTGCTTCGTATGGCTCAAACCACCTCCCGATTTGCCCCAGTTCCACCCCCATCGTTCGTGCCTGTCCAGGTAGATCTTGTCCAACAGTCCAACCAGGATGAACGAACACCCTCGAGGGCCGAAGGAAAGATCTTGACCGATACTCCCGTGTCCGACAGCACTGTTGAAACAGACCCTCCTTTGAGTGTGACGACGTCGAACTCTTCCGAGACTGAGAACGTTGAGACGGCGACTCCTTCCAACACGAGCGATGCAACTGTGGAAGTTCCTTCGAAAACGATGGATGGCAAGGCCACCTCTGGTACCGACGCGGCTGGAGGCAACGTGTTGGCAAACATTCATCAAAGCGGGGGCGCTTATCAGCCGTCGCCAGCTCCCATCATGGCACGGACCGTTACTCAAGCTGACGATGCTTAGACCGGCTATCCTCGTCATTTTTTACTCTCCTTTAGTTTGATGTTCGGTAATTTGGAAAAGTGTACGCTTGACGACAACTCTCCGCTGGTGCGGGGAAAGGCACAGCACCACTGTGGATGATGGTGATGGGACGGGAAGTTTATTTGCCGGGAATGTCACTTGTATACTTTTGTGTCTCCAACGAAAAACAATCACATCACGAGATGGATTTGATCATCAAATTTGTAATACGTCTAAATCGATAATGAAAGCAATGCATTCATTCACTTGGGCTAGCTAGTCTAGGTTACATTGTAGTACTGGTAGCAGGTGTGGGTGGCCAAGCTGTTTCATCATTCGATTCGATTCCGGCAGCCTGCTACCTAGATCTAGCTTGGTCCGTGACCATGCCTGATTTAAAAAAAATGTGGCGGTGTGGTACCTGTCCGTACCGTCCAGGCTCGTAGTTGTCCTCGCCAGCCTCGCAAGGGTACATGTACGGTACTATAGCTCCAGTGCTTTGGGAAAGCCCGAATATCCACTTTGCACCAAAACCAGAAAGGACGCTGCGATGAAACAAACTGCTGGCTATGCATGTATAGCTGGCTGAGTTTCAAATGAAGGAACCACAAAGACGAATGGGTCATCCCATGCCACCATGTGCAGCCATCATGCCAATCCTGTTGCTTTTGATCGGATATCCCCTCACTGAAAATGGTGTACAAGCTTTCACTACAAAACGAAATCCTAATCCATTGGGTAGCCCATTCTTTGGTGGTCAACATCAACAACAATGTGGTCATGTCCACTGCAAACTTTTCCAAGTTCTAGCACCTCCAAGCCAAACATCATTTTCAGTTCTATCAGCCACCAAGATTAAGGATGTCGCTTGCACTTCCACTGAAACCCAGAGCAACCAAAAACCATCAGAGAGCAAACACGCAGTGTCACATTTGGAAAATGATGCGAACCTCAGCACAGTCACAGTCAACAATCCTACTTGGGATCAGAATATTGCGGCAATGCTGGAATACAAAGAGATCCATGGCACAGTCAACATACCCACACAGTCAAAAGAATACCCCAAACTAGCATTATGGATCAAAAATATGAGGCACTATAATGGACGCTTGGCACGGGAACAGGTTGCTCAGCTAGACAGCATTGGGCTTTTATGGACTGATGCCAAAATGGACAAGCATGAGAGGATGTGGCTGGTAACGTTTGAGGAATTGAAGGAATACAAGGCAACTCATGGACACTGCAGAGTTCCTATCAAAGACGGCTGTCTTGGTACCTGGGTCAAAACACAACGCCGTCAATACACTACTGGCAAGCTCAGGAGAGACAGACAAGAGATGCTGGAATCCATTGGTTTTGAATGGAGGCTTAAAAGGTTTGTCGAGGTGAAGAATCCAGAACAGGAAACTTTGTGGAATTCACAATATGCCAAGGTTGTTAGATTCAAGGAAGAATATGGCCATACACGTGTCCCATATCGATATCCAGAAAACCCAGAAGTTGGCATTTGGGTGCACATTCAGCGGAATCGAAACAAAAATGGCACCTTACGACCTGACCGCAAGGCGAAGCTTGATGAAATTGGTTTTGTATGGGACATTTCTGAATACTTTTGGGATACCCAATATGATGCACTGGTGAAGTACAAGGAAAGGCATGGTGACACTCGTGTGCCTCGAGATAATCCAGAAAACAAGGAACTTGGTTTTTGGGTGGGTAAACAGAGGCAGAAAAAGAAGAATGATGTCTTACGACCTGACCGCAAAGAAAGGCTTGATGGGATTGGTTTTGTATGGGACTCTCGTAAACACACCTGGGGTGACCAATATGATGCACTTGTCAAGTACAAGGAAAAGCATGGTGACACACTTGTGCCTCGAGATTATCCAGAAAACAAAGATCTTGGTTTTTGGGTGGCCACTCAAAGGCAGAATATGAAAAATGGGACCTTACTGGCACGACCTGACCGCAAAGCAAAGCTTGACGCGCTTGGTTTTGTATGGGACTTTGATGACATCCTTGGAGAAGCTTGGCTTGAGCGATATGAGAATCTCAAGTGGTGCTATGCCAACAATGCTAATTTTGATCGGAGTCTTAATACATCATGGACAAAGCGTCAACGCATTTTTAGTGCAAAGGGCTTGCTTGCACCTCATAGGAAAGCGCTGCTGGATGAAATTGGTTTTGACTGGTAGAATGCAAACAACTCAAGAGAGCAAACACAACCTGTCACAACATGAACAATTACATGTAAGCTCTCCTGTGCGCTGAAAAACTCGCGCTGGTACCAGTAGATCTATTTGCTGAAGTTGTAGGAAAACGGGCGTATCTAGTTGCTCGATCACCAAAACGCCACTTCTCCGACAACGGAGAGCAGTGAACGCTGCTCTAGTCCCGAATCCTTCTGCCGGAAGTGCCGCTCGTGATGTTGGTACACTCGAGAGAGACCTTCTGGGTGAGGGTCGCCAAAAGGTTCACAAAGAGGCCTCGGGGCAATTCTTCAGGAGTCCTAAAGTAGACGGAACCAATCCCGGAACGATTTCTGTGTTTTCTTCAGGATAAGGGCAACCAAATGTTCCTTTTTCGTTGGGAAGAGTCATATTCGTGGTGTTGCCGGTGCATTCTTTGCGACGCCCTTGAGCCTCGAGAGTACAGTTATGGCTCCTATGATAGCCCGATTCCGGACAGATATCCGTTCTCAGCAACGGTTTGATGAGGCTTTCGTATCAGCCTCCAACGCAGATCCATTCCAAATCTTTGTTGTCGTAGTCGTCTGCACTGTTCCAAAAGACGGTGATGCACAGAGGCAAAAGTCGGAGAATTGACTTTCGCCTGGATTTATATAGAGATACCGAGAAACATAAGGTCGTACGTGGACAATGACTCCTTGGTCCTGGTGAGGGTAGTACTGTACAAGCCACCCCCAACGCACATCTCATTCTGAGTCAAATCTCCGAATGCAACATCCTCGGATCGCCCTGTATGAGCACTGGACAAGAGTTCATCTCCAGGTTCCAAGGAAAGATGAGTCGAGTCTCTGCGAGTGACTGCCGGTTGCAATCAATCATACGCGTGTTCATCGCGTACGTAAAGGACCAAGGTTTTCATTGTCCTGCAACAGTGATTTCCATTTTGGTGCCCGTAAGATGGATGTGGTGTGCCACGCCCGGCACTTTGGGGCTCTGATTCCACAGGCCTTGTGTACAAGAGGACGGCGACACCACCATTGGCGACATCTCGATGTTTTTCACCCCGCAGGCAGCGGATCTCGATAGTAAGCGTGGGTTCCAGCATTCAATCGCCTTTTGCCTGCTTCTTCCCGCCTCAGCTGTTTGGTGTAGTGCATGCGGACTCCAGGGCAGTCTTTTACGTCGACATGCAGGAAAGGGTTCTAGTATGGGTCTGCAAGACCTGCCAGGTTTGCTGTTTCCAAACGGCAAGCCGACGTCTTCCGGCAGATTGATATCTTGGCTGCCCACAGGTTCCGTGGGATCAGGGGAGATAACTTTAAAAGGACCAACACGAGGACCAACACGGGGGCCAAATGGCTTGGCTTGGTGGGATCGGTGGAGACACAAATCAGTGGCTTCTAACAGGGGCAATTAAGATCCCGGTCTGGATGAAGAACATCATTTGAGAGTATGAATATTGAGTTTTGGTGGCATTGACTGTAGCTAGCTACTAGAGCCAGAATGGAAACTAGCCATTGCTTCTCAGTTGCGTACTAAACACCATGCCAGAGTTCATGCCTTCACTATCTCTTGGTTCTTGGGCGACTTTTGAAGAAGAGGACAATCTTTCGAGTGAAATTTCCAGTCATTCTTTTGGCACTCTCTTCCACAGTACTTGACTACCTTGCACCTGCTGCACCGCAAAAGTTTCGTGTTGGCAGTGCCCTTGTTGTCGCAGAAATGGCACTGGTTCATGGGTGTAATTGGGCTGTCCAACGCTCCCTCCAATCCACCCGGAAACCCACCCATCGGTGCATACTTCCCGACATCTCCCGCGGCACAATCCACGTTGTATTTTTCCATGGCCACCGGATCCCTCTCAATGCCCATGGACCTGGCCATGTCGTCGCAAAGCTGCTTTTGGAACATTACATCTTGGACAGTCTTCATTCTGCCGTTTGTTTCTATCTATTAGCGCTCCACAACTATCTTTGCGGCATGCATGCAGGACATGTTCAATGTTGGAAGTATTGTAGAGCCATGGTCAGCGTAATGACGATCGCGCACGGAGCTCTGAAAGATTGGTTTCTCTCAAGATCTCTTGGCGCAAACGCGTGCCTTGCCTTTCCTTGCGCGTGAATTGTACTTACTACTAGTGAGAGACCCTCAAACGCACGCGATGTAATACATGTAATACGTACAATGCGTATTCTACGTATTCCCGTATAATACGTATAACACGTATTACACGGTCGCCAGCCAGCCACCGTGACCGTTCGAGTGACCGTTCGTTTCGCAAAATGGCTTCAACACCAATCTCCACCAATATCCAATCTCCACCAATCTCCACAACACACACCATGAGATAAACCTCTCTCCTCTTGTTGCTTTGAAGGATACAGAGGTTTCTGTTGTTATTTGAAGATAGTACCATCATTGTGGGTAAGTAGGTAGGCAATGTGGTATGGCTTTGTTGAAGCCAAGAAGACTGTTTCTGTGGAAAGATAGAAGGATTTCTCTCCATTCAACTCCTTCTTCATTCTCCTGCCCCCACTCTCTTTATCAGCTTTGTCAGCTCACAGGACCATTCTCTTTGCATTCATATACTTCTGAAGGCTCACTGACGAAGCTGTGGAAGATCTGGCCTTGATTTTTGACACTCATTGTCAACACTTTCTGTAGGACCAGTACTGAACCCCTGTAAGTACCCAAGCGCGCAACACGTGTTATATGTGTTACCCGTGTTATACATATTAACTGTGTTGTGCGTATTAACTGTGTTATACGTATAACACGTATTACTTGTGTTATATGTATTACCTGTGTTATACGTATTACCGTGTTATACGTATTACCTGTGTTGGTCGTATTGTGCATGTTACCCGTGTTTGTTGTCTCACATATTTTCGTTTTCTTCATTAGTATTTTCGTTTAGGCATCATGTCGGGTTCTGACGATGAAGATGGTGGGCAAGACGCTGGAGAAGACGTTGCTCGAGAAGAGGAGAAGGATGACGAATCCTGAGGAGGAGATTCCATCACCACGCATCCTATCTACCATCCTGGACTGTCAGCATTTTGTCACCAATGCTTTGAGCCTGGTGTTGCACAGAGTAGTGCCGAAAGTGCTAACTCCTTCAAAGTCCGAAAGGTTGGTCCTAGCATGTACAATCATTCTAGACCTCCAAACGAAGATGGATCGGTGGGAGGTGGAATGTCTTCAAGAAAGGACCTCTGTGAAAGGCGATATGATGGTATCGCAGGTAATGTTGCTGCAGAGATAGCTGCAGAAGCGAAGCACAACGACGTCAGAGGGAAATGGATGAAGCTGAGGATGCCGAAGCCAGCACTTACACTTTTCTTGGACTCGACCCCAAAACTTTGTAAATGTCTCTGACGCACGCACGACATCTATAGCAGTTGCAATTTCCACATCACTGTCAACGTAGTCATCGTAAGTGAAAATCGCTCTGTTGTAACTCCGAAATCATTCCAGAACCTGTGATGGATAGAGCGTCTCTTACTTTGTTCGCAAAGGATTCAGCACTGTCCGATTCATCTGTTAGTGATTCAGGATCAATGTTCTGAGGTGTGGCTCCCTATGTGATTGTCTGATTCGAAGAAGGCCGGAGTCATATGAGGCAAATAGGACAACGAACGATTTTGTTGGGTCGGATTGCAATCGGGCAAGTAGCCTGTCGCAGCTGTCGCCCCCTGATGCGGTACTTGAGAGATGGTACCGTCTGCTTCACCAAAGACAAGACAACTCCTTGATGCAACTCTTCCTTAGAGATTCGATTTGTTTCGAAGTTAGAGATGAGCCTGTCCGTTCATAAAGTAAAGTCTTAACAACACTTGGCGAGAGGTGGTTCTTTAGGCATTGTTCCGCTAGTGTAACGGCTTCTGTGCAAGATGAGTACTTAACACTTTCACTTGTGCTCTTCTAGTTGTACATGGCCACGATGAAGCTTGTTGCCTGTCTGGAACTTGGTTAGATACCATCGTCTGTGTTCCTGGCTATATAGACATTGAAAGAGAATGGACATTTGACACCCTCCCCCTCAACAGGAAGCTGAGTCTGGTGTGGTTTTGTTGCTGTCCTTTTGGGACCTTTGTTTGTAAAAACGATCCTTGGACAACATATGGTAATGTGATTCCGCCTCTTATCAAATCCTTGTTTTTGATGCGGAATCCAGCAGTCTTGCAAGGAAGTAACAAAGTATGGCATCAAAACTTCTTTAATATGCGCCGGATCACAGATTGATACATCGAAGGTAGCCAATACACCGTCGATTTCTCCATTCGATAATTATCGAACCCCAGAGTATCCATAATGTTTATCTCCTTTGGCGTATCATCAGCTAGTGAGGTTCTACATTCACAATGATGGAAGAAGGAGTCCATTCTTCATCATTGATATTGTATCTAGCAACATGAGAGAGTTCAGATAGGTAAGAGTCCATTTTACTTGAAAAGCTGTCAGGTATTATGCCTGCAACAGTGCATCTTCCTCTCTGCCTCCCAAACACCTGGCAAAACACTTGCTAAGAAAACACCTGGCAAAAAAACTTAGCAAAAATTCGTCGCTGTGTATTATACGTAAAAACGTACAACACATAATACATGTAATACGTCAAATACGTACAACACATAATACATGTAATACGTATAATATTGTTCCACTTGCGTTATCTGTGTTATACGTATAAATTGTCTAATACATATTAAAATGTTATATGTGTAATACGTATGATCTGTAGAATACATAGTGAAAATGTTATACGTATAATACAACCGCGTGCGTTTCAGGGGCTCTCGTATCAGGAACCGGTACCGAGCACTACCAGGTGGCTAGATCTAGACTAGTTCACTTGCCCTCTTCCGCTAAATTGGCCCCCTCTTGCTCCTCTTGCCTTCCCCTCTCCTTCCTCCTTTTGCTTCCTCGCATTCCCCTGCCCCCCTTGCCCCCTTGCCAATCTTTGCCCAGCTCCCGTCTTCCCTGCTCTACCAGTGCTACCCACTCCCGATACCGATGCCACCGCTCTGCCTAGCTAAGCCCCCCTCGCTCCTTAACGTCTCTAGAAGATCTTTTTACGTACTAGCTAATAGCTTTGCGGATTGAAACAGATGAGAAAGAATAATACTAGTAATCTATGAATCATGGAGTTCCCACCGTGGTGGGAAAGCCGGAAGGCAAGAAGGAGAAGTGGGACAGATACAGATGAAAGAGAGGGTGGCGGAATTTGCCGTACAGTAGGACAAAGACAAAAGAAGCCTAACGGTGATGAAAGAGGGGAGGTGCACCCTCATCATCCCTGATCATGGCTGCGAAACCAGGTCTGTTTTACGTTGAAAGGGTTGCCTCGAAACATTTCCGCTCTGCAAGTTTAAATAATGTTCCTGAGAACTCCCCAGTTGCGAACACAAGTGAATGATCAGAAGCATGTGGGTCATCTACTACCGGTACAGTAGCTAGTATCTAAAACCTCGAACGGTACCGGTACCAAAAGAACCGAGAACCTCTTCCTGCGATATGCTCACAAAATCAATCTCGTGAAGCAGCCAGCAAAAGCCAACCAACATCATGTCAACTTCTCCCGGTATCTCCATTCAACGAACATGGTCTTGCCACTGTGGATGCGTCCAAGCCAAGCTCCTCAATGATTCCACTCCTGGGTGCTTTCGCTGCCATTGCCATTCTTGTGTGGCTGCCGCGAAGTACATTGCCAAGGCCACCGACGACAAGCCCTCTATGATTCCAATGCTGCATGCAGATGGTGGTGCATGTGTTTCTCCATACGCTGCTGAGAATGTTGAATTCACTACCGGTCTGTCAGATACTGATGGGAATTCAATGCTGAAGTTTGTGAAAGTCGGAGAGGAGGGCTCGGCTTGGAGGTGCTCTACTACCTGCTGTGGTACCCAAATGACCAATTGTGTTTTCCCAGGTTGGATTGCCTTCAATCGTAATGGAATCAAGAATGAAGATGGCTCCAAGTACGACCCTGAGATCATCAACGTTTTCAAAAGCTGCTCTTTTGACCCCAAGTCTGTCCCCGAGCCAAGCCATGAAACTCTTCCAGATGGTTGGTTTGACGTTTTTATGACCAAAGCCACGGGCAGCACCAAACTGAAGGATCTCTACCCGGAGCTTTTTCCAAAAGAGGCTGACATCACTGACATTGTTCCCATCACCTGGTAAAACCAAGCCACAAATCTTACATTGGCTCAAAGCGTCACTCCAAAAAACATGGCCACAGCGATACTTTGACATGGTGTGAACGAAGTACAGCAAGGACTCACTCGAGCAGGTGGTGCTACCGGTTCATCTACTAGTATACGATTGTTTTATTGTCATTTAACTTACTTAAGGATTGCTTGCTCACATTTCAGTTGGTGTCGTATCCTCGCTCTAGCTCGAATGTACCGGTAGTTGACTCTGTGACGCAAGTTGAACCACTATCAGGCTGCGATTCCTCTCTGCTCTGATTCTCTTGTCACAATAGCACGAGAGATGAGAATAATGAAGTGCCAGCCATGTCTATGGAGCGTTGCTGTGTGGTTGTGATCTGACCGCGCCAGGTGCGGACCAGAAACGACAAATCACATTCGATTCGGAGGCGACGGACTCCTACCTTCTTCGGTCGGAAGTGTGAAAGCATGTGTCTGCTCGCGGGACTGAGGGGAGAGCCACCAACGCTCTCCCCTCATATCTTACCTCCGCAGATATCGCAGACGGTGTATGGAGAGGGTCCCAAGCCGGTTTCATCTCCAATTTCCTCTAACAATTTCGGCAGTACAATGAGACCAGCGACGAGCCATACACTGACACGCAGGGAGCATGTTTCTTGGAACGCTCAATCTCCAAGGCACCAAATCTCGCTCCCGTACGACATCTCGCACTGCAAACCAAGAAAGCCGCAGGAGACACCTCCAAGTATTCACTCGAGCAATACCGAGCAGCACTTCTCGAGCAGTGCAAATCATGCAACGTCCACACGCTCTCGGCCCCAGGAGAGACATGACACAGACTCGTGGTTGAGTCTGGGAATGGACTCTCCTGACCAACCAAAGAGCAGTCTTGTTACACCGATAGAAGAGAGGTGGATCAAGACAAACAAAACAATGGGCTCTGCGACTCAAGGTTGGTGATCCTCGTGAAAGAGCACTGGCTGGATGAATCAGATTGGCCAGATCGTTGTCACGGTGCGTCGCAGTTAATCTCTATAAAGTTTACATTGCGCTATCTGAACAGTGAAGCTGAACCAATCAGACTGTCCATACGTTGACGGAGCTTGGACAACGCATGGAATACGAAGCAGTCGTCGTGCACTCTTTCATATGGATTGCTTTCGTTAGTGAGGATAAGCTCCCGAGTTCCGATATCTGTCTTGTCTTCCTGGGACCAAAGGGTCAGCACCGTTGTTTTCGTGGGTTTGTTTGGGCATGTGGGAAACATCAAGATTGTGGCAAAGAACTCTGCTGGGGCTCCCTCCTGACTTTCCTTTCTACCCACGAAGTACGCGACCCATTCCCCTGCTCGAATCTCGCGGCACTCGCTGTACTCGACAATTTTGAAGTCGGAGCAATCCTCGTAGTACAGCTCGAGCAGGCTACGCTCTTCCCTCTGGTTGATCAGATGCAAAGCGGTGGATGTATTTTCTGCGTCGCCCTTCCGCTTCGAAAGGAAGACCCCATCACCGTACCAGATGGTCGCCGAGATACGCGTCCAAACATGTTCGACCATTGTGGGCTCGAATTTGCTCGGTGTTGCTACCACGCTTGATGGTTCTGTGTAAGCTAGAGTGTTCAGCATTTTTGTTCTGTCTCTGTTTTGTGGCTGTCTCGAACGCAACATCCTCTCCAGCTCCGAGCCCAACCTCGTCGAGACGTTCATCAAACGTGCTTCGACACGGACTCACGCGGTATTCGAAGACTATTGACACATTTCGTGCTCGGCACCAATGCGATGGACCCACGGGCTACCGGTATGCTATGCAATCTTCCTGAGTCTATAGGGGCAAAAGGTTTCTCACTCAGCAAGGAACTGACAGGCACTGGCCTTGTGGTAAGAGCCTGGAAGGGAATTGAAGGATGAGCCACGACTTCTGTCGCCTCGGTGCTCCGAAAGAATTGGAGCAGCATTGGGCTGTTGGAAAGAATCTGTGAAGCCACTCAAACACGATAGGATCGTGGACCGGGTGCACCACAACTCAACTTCAGCTGGCCAGCATTGGTATCTATATATGACATGACTATCATAGAAATGCCCCGAAGTTAATCCTTGACACTCGTCCTTTTGCCAAAAAGAAAGCCTGGGCGCAGCCACAAGCAAGATCGAAACTGAACTACTGTATGGCAACATTAATTAGACCAATGAAAAGTATTGGAACCTTGAGTTTAGGACTAGGAAAATATTCTATCCAATGAAAAGTATTGGAACCTTGAGTTTAGGACTAGGAGAATATTCTATTCTAGCCTGTTGACAGACTGCTCGAGCATGGTGCAGGGATACCTACCTAGTAGGTCTTTTTTATGGCATAAATATGTCCCGTTCTCGTCGCAATAGCTTGACGGCGGATCCTTCATATTTCCTCGTGTACCGGTAGTGGCAATGCTCCCGTCGCTTTGTGTTCCTCCCGGCCAAACAAGACGTCGTGCAATCGTTGTTCAGACCTTCTCTGCAATTTTTTGTGTGCACCAGAGTCAACCTCCGGAATGCAATGATGTGTGCTCTTTCAATGCCGCGAAGCAATGCAGATGATTGTAATAGAAAGCGCATGGATGTGGAAAATCTTCCTACCACAACTGCGGACCATACACCACTCCCCGTCGCCATGCAATTTCCGGTTCCTCCTGGATTTTGGAAAAGGACATTCTTCGTTGGACTTTGCGAATAATCTTTTTGAATCGTTGTCGTAATTCTTTCTTTCGTCGTGTCTCGACCACGTACAGGCCTACCATGCAGGCGCATGCCAATCCCACGGCGATCGATGCCACTGCCAAGGCTCCCACATGTCCCAGTTTTGGGACCAACAAAAAGACGGTCACGACAATGATATTCAAGGGCACTCCAAAGAGTGTCATGATGAGTGACCGATGCGAGTCTGGTAGATACTTGCTGCGTAAGGTTCCAATGGTAGGAAAGTAGATTCCCACACAGGCTTCAAAGACAAAGTAGGAAACAATCAATCGCAAGAGTCGTACAGATTCTCCACCAGTACCATTGTTCTCGTTTGGTTCGCCTTGTGCATAGTTGTTGTTGTTGTTATTTGCAGAAGAAGAAGAGCGAACGGCAAAGGTCCCCAGCAATAAGGAAAGCGATGCCAGTGCCAACATTCCAATAGTGGATAATTCCAACGATGTGGAGTTTCGTTTGACTTGACTGGGTCGTTTGGACAGCATACCAAAGAGGGTACTCCCGACCATGCAACAGGCCATGAAACAGGAAAAGACCGTCCCGTAGGGCGTAATGGCATCGGCTCCAAACGATCGTTGAATGGCGTGGTTCATGGTGGGTGGCCATTGCATGACAAACACATACATGGCTCCCTCAAAGAGTGACTGTACTCCTCCCAATAACATGATTCGGACATCACTTTGAATGACCCACACGGCATCCCAAATGGTTGGCTTTTTATTGTCATCCGCAGTACTATTGCTATTGCTAGTACTACTTCGAGGAGTACTTGTTGCCGTGTTTTCTTCCCACAAAAAGGCGGTCACCAATGCTCCCAGTAGCAAAAAGAAGGGCGATACCTGAAAGGGTCCCGTGGGTCCTCGATGACTGGCCACTCGCCCCGCCACTTGCCCTGCCAACATGGCCACCACCGAGTCGTATGCATATGCCATGCCAAACGTCTCGCGAATCCAAGAAGGATCCGAAACGGCATCGAGATCGTCAATCTCGCTGTCAAAGTCGTCTTCTTTATCCTTGTGCGTATTTGTATTATTGTGCGATCCATCAATGACAGCTTGTTGTTGCTTTTTGAATTCACTGACGAGCCAGGCTTCGGGCGACGCACTGAGGAGACTGGTGGCGACGCCTCCGACGGCCCGTCCGACAAACAAAATCCAGAGCATGCCATCGACGGTAGTGGACCAAGCCCCAATGCCGTATAAAAAGGCCGCCAGCAATGTCCCCAATTTCCGACCGTGTCGATCCGAAACTTTGCCCAAAAACGGTCCGACCAGCGCGACGGCGGCAAATCCCGCCAAGGAAATTTGGGAAATGGTCGACGGGGTCAGCGGTTCGCCAGTCGGTAAGCGTTTGGATGCATACGCGGCATAAAAGTAGGGTCCACTCATCCAAAAGGACATGCGCAACAACCAAAAGACCGTCAAGAATTTGACCTGCATATAGCGCAATCGCAGTCGAACCGGAGACACCTTTGTAGTGGTGTCGTTACTGTTGTTGTTGCTGTATAGACCCGTAATAAGCGTGGTCCACAAAAAGACGGCGGGGTTCTTTATTATTGTAGTCGAAAAGGATTTTCGTTGTGGGTTATTGTCGCTGCTGCTTTCTTGGTTGTGAGAATCGTCGCTGGTGTCGTCTTCCTCGTCGGCACTGCTGGTAGTGCACGTGCTACCACAGCTAGTACTCTGCATAGAGCTCATACTGTCATTCATCGAACCGCTTCTTCTTCTCTTGGTATTGTCAGTGCTACTAGCAGTAGTAGTATTGCCAAATTTCTGAAGGAGTTCCAACTGATACTTGGCAATTCGCACAAAGACACTAAAGCTGACCAACGAGACCAACAACGTGTGAAACAGAGACTCTGGATCATCCGTGCGGAACTTTTGGCCCATGACAAGAAAGACCCAACGAGGCATGAGCAGATTCTGGATCGAATGATCGGTTGGAAAGACATCAAACATCATTGAAAACACATTACTGCTGCTGTCCTCCATGATTGATTGATTGATGTACTGATTGATGGATTGATTGATGGACTGATGGAGAGGGTAAGGCAGGCTGTGCGGTTGCTGGCTTGCCAAAAACTGAGTGAAGAGGAAGAGCAAATGGGCAGTTACTAGCTAGCTAGTAGAGGAGTTGCTCGGTATTGGATATTTGTTGCCACTTCACTGCCATACTTCCTTGACCAAGAGGAATTCTCGATTCTCGATCAACTCTTGGACACTTTTTGGCAGTTTTGGATTGGACGGAGTGGCTCATCTTCCGGTCTTTTTACAACGGCCAAACACAGTCCTCTATCCTCTATGACAGCTGCGACCAGTGACTCTTTTTGCTGCTAAGTACAGTATCAAAGCTCTATCAATGACAGCTTTGACACAATAAAGTGTCATTACTAAATCCTCAATTGAAGTCAAGTGGAAACTGCTTTTCTAAATGATTGGTGACGTGGACCAAAGCAAGCTACTGCAGTAGCCACAAACTCAAAGGGATCATCCAAAATCAAGAGGGCCGCGAGCTCATCGTTGTTGCAGGAACACGAGTTGAGTGGAGTAAAGTCAACGTTGCCACGGTTTTTGCACTGGACGGCAAACACGGGCAACAAAAAAGCAAGAGGCATCAATGGCTTTCCCACAATTTTAAAAAGAAGAATTAGTCTAGCTAGTCTAGCTATAGCTAGCTAGATAGCTATGGCTAGTCTACAGGACACGGATCACAGTCACATCCACAGAGCAAAGTTCCCTGGCATATTGGACCTTCAATCTTTTGATGAAACTTCCCTCCACCAAAATACCCAGATATTTGCTGGTGCATTCTGTCACACAGGGATTCAGGAATGCTACCCCGTAAGGATGTGTTTGTAACTACAAAGCTTGTCAAGTTTTCCAACTGAAGCAGTTCTGTAGGAAGTGTGCCAGAAAGCTCAGTGTTCTGTATATCCAGCTTCATCAGGCTTGACAGTAGGCCAACTTCGGTTGGGATTGTGCCGGAGAACTGATTGTCCCCAAGGGACAAGTGTCGCAAATGTGTGAGCTGTGCAAAGATCTTCAATGGGAGCTTGCCCTCCAGCCTGTTGGAACCAAGATTTAAATGAACCATATCTGAAAGGACAAAGAGCAGAGAGTGAGCCTCAACAAAATACGGCGGACTGGAAGTTTTAAGGACTCACTGGTCAACTTGAACAACACCTGTGGAAAAGTCCCAGATATGGAATTATTTTCCAGGTCCAGCAAAATCTAAAAGCAAGCAGGCGTCCTCTTATTATGAGTCCAATGGAGGCAAGGATATTTTGTGCCGCCATCGCATTTCATTGCATTACTCACCAACTCTGTCAGATCCCCAAAGTTGCTTGGTATTGTGCCCGAGATATTCCAATCGTTCAAAGCCAGATCAGATAGTTTGGTCAATTTGTCAAGATGAGCTGCGAGAGGTAGGTAGCAATCAGCAAATGTAAGAGCCAGCAAACACGAAAGCAAACTCAAAGATATTCAACGCACATGGAATTGCCATCTTGTCCCCGTGTGCTCTTTGGATGAGCATAATGGATTGCACTTGTTGAATACTCTCAGCAATTTCCGAAAGAACCAACTCTGTGTTCAGTTTGGGACATTCCATCACGCCTAGGATTTCTAGCTTGTGCCACTGGTAGAATTCGGTAGGGATGGACCCTGGATGGTTTCAAAAGAATACCAGAACCTCAAATGTCAGCTGTCATTTTAATAAAATAAAATGAAAAGCAATACTCCTGAGACAAGATATCGAAAACAAACCTGTTAGCTCTGCCTCGGACAATCTGAAAATTGTCATGTTGTACAATTTGCCAAGCTCAGACGGAATAGACCCCAATAAATTGTTTTGAATGAGTTTGAGTTGCCCAAGATTCGTCATAAGACCGAGCTCTCTCGGAATTGTGCCAGAAATGCCTGTTGCTGTCAATGCCAACTCATTTAATTGTGTCAGCTCTCCAAGGGCTGTTGGTATAGATCCCCTGAGTTGCTGTTGCCGACATAGATACAAAAGCTGCAAGCTCTTGCCAAGAAAAGATATCTCAGGTGGAATAGTTCCATCCATGTTATTGGCGATGCAAAAGACCAGTGCCTTGATTTCTCCCATCTCATTGCAGTTCACTTCTGGAGAGCTCTCTTGGTGCCTGTAGAGTTGTTCCCAGTCACATTCATTAGTCTCCCACTCCAACCATCCACCATTCTTCACCCAAAAGCCCCCTCTTGTAGAGTAGTAGAATGTGGCCAAAGAAAACCTCTGCTTTAGTCTCCATTTTGGTAGATTGTTTAGGGTAGAAGTTTTATTGTTGATGTTGCTGATCAGCCATTCATATGCTTTGGACTGAGGACTCCTGGGGTTTTCCAAAGCTTCCAGTGTGTAATCAGGTAAATGGAGTGAATCCAGGAAATTTGGTGGTTCCATTGTTGGCATTGCTGCCAATCCTGGAAATTTTGAAGGAACTTTGGTGTCTGTTGATTGACTTGTGTCACTGTTGTCGTGTCCTCTGAGCGAAACTGCCATAATTACAAGCAGTGTCACAACAACTGAGAGTAAAACAACATTGGCTTCCAATGAAAGGACAAAAAGCAACCTTTGCCTCCAGTATTTCATGGATCTATGGTTGGGAACTGTTGTGTCTGTACCAGTATTCTCCAAGAGGCTGGAATCCTCAATATTTTCATGTTCTGGAATTTGTGTTGCTGTCGCCAGAGCATCAACGGGTTCTTGATCCACAGCCTCTTCAATTATGTCATCCCGATTGGCTGAAATTCCGTTCACGGCAAAGGCGCCAGGACCTGTGAATTCCATATCTGGTGTTACTGGAAAAGGAGAGCGCTCTTCTCGTAGTGTTGCTGGGAATACTGGTACTCCCATTGCCGGTCTCATCTGGGTAACATCTTGCCACGTAGACATTGTATGACTGTCACTCTTCTCTGGTTGCCGGTTGGTTTTCTTGTTGATGGAAGTCATCTCTACATTGGAGGCCCTCTTTCGGACTATCTCTTCCAGAATGTCAAAGTCGTCGTCCTCATCATCAAGTTCAACAACTTGATGATGAGACATTATGATAGTTGGCAGAAGACAGACCAAAAAGAAGTGGAGCGATACCAGTGTTGGCGGCAGCAGGCATGGAAGCTCCGCTCAGGGCTGGCTATGGTCGGTTCTCAAGTCTCCTTGTATTAGCCTTGAAGTTAACCCTCGTATGTCAACGAACGTAGGTACCTAGGTGTGGCAGTGTTAGTCTAGTGGGAGGGTGCCAGTGGTAATCGTTAATCAGTACCGCGGAACAGCTCACAAGCTATATTTTAAAATAGCAGCTATCCAGAGCATGCACCCACTTCGGGACTTCGGGATGAGGTCGAACGTTTTACTGTGGCCAAAAGAGCCACTGTAATCACGGGACTCGTGCTGACCCGACTCAAAAATACTTCTCGTTTGTGACACGACACACGAAGTACTGCCGTACTGCCGTACTGCCGTTTGCAAGATGATGGTGAATGGGGACGGCCAAGCGGCGTCTTGCACTCCCTACCACTAGCTAGCTAGAATATACGTACTCTACTATTGAAACCACTTTTGAAATGCTACAATGGTGTCCAAAGCATATCTAAAATGGTCTCAAAGCAAGGGTAGAAGTAGACGGCTTTGAAGTTCTGAAAGGAGCCTTTTGGATGTAGTTGAGCAGCTGTTGCTGTTGTTGCCGCTGTTAGCTGAAATCTCGCCTGCCGCTCCACGATGGGAGAAGCCGAGTCTTCTTCGAGCGTCGGAAGGCAATGGGATGGCACGACGACGACGACGTTTGACGACAACAACAACCGAGGTTGCGGCTGGATGGAGATACCACGGCAAAAACAACGGCGGAGTCGTCGAAGGGACCGTTACCGCTGGTGCCTCTCCACGAACGACGGAACGACAGACGACACCAGCTATCTCGGTGGCGGCGGTGGCGATGGAACCGCAAGATGGTGTTGCTGAGATGGTGGCGTCGTGCCGCCTGACCGACAACAGCAACAACAGAAATGGTGGAAGAAACGGTGAATTCTTCATTGATTTGCTCTGTTGACTCGACTCGACTCGACTCGGCCGAAGAATTGACAGCCGAAGAACATTTGCTCACGGGCTGACGTTGGAATCGCTGTTATTGTACTCAATAGCAAACACAAACTTGCACCCTTTCGCTCGTTGGTCTTGATAGTGGAGTTACCGTACACTGTTGATTGCTGGTGGTTTGAGAGATTTCAAATCGTTGTGTAGAGGAGTGGAGGACTTTTCGTAACTCAGAAGAAGTTGATCTTCTTCATGCAGTGATTTCTTTGTAGGGCAATTTCAACTAATTATAGGAAGGTCTATAACTGATTGTGATGGTGCTGTTGTGTTGTGTTGTGTTGTTCTTCTTGTGGAG